CAAGCATATTCCTTATGTGATGTTAAATTAGATTTTTCAATCAATATTTCCATAACTTACCCAATCACCATATTCTCAATATGTATCTTAACAGGACTTAACAGTAACAACAACAAAAAGCAAATCCCAGGAGCGCAGCCTGCAGAGCTGTAGGCTGGCTCCAAGAGGCAGAGCTGCGGGGTGTTTTGATTGCGTGGTACCGAGCATTCTGCCCCGCACTACACAGAACGCTCAGTAAACAAAATGAGGACACAATTCTACAAGACCTCGGAGTCTCTCCTTACCTGAACCGGACTGGGTGCAGGATGACTTCCACCATGTTGGCTTTGCTGCTGTCCGGTGGGAGTAGCTGAAGGCTGAGGATGTGGAGTGTGTGGGTGCAGGGTAGCATTAGGGTGCGCATACTGCTGAGCAAGGGAGCCAGTGGAAACTGAAGTGGAAGAAAAAGGTGTGTACGGTCGACATCTAGGACAGTCTCCACTGCTCCCCTAAGCCTCATCAGCTGAGCTTTCATGATACTCAGTGTCTAACTTATGCTCTTTACCAAACTATTTTACTCCATTTAAATCATCCATTTTCTTGAAAAAATAAGTGTGAAGTTAAGCAGACTAGCATTTATATAACACAGCTGTATACATTTTATGAAAATCTAATTAGTGTAAATTTACTCTTAAAACAGTCACTAGGTTCTCCTGAAAAAGCAACTTAAAAGCATAGGCAGAAATCATTCTCTCTCTCTCTCTTTTACACACACACACACACACACACACACTCTTTACCTCAAGGCCATCATCTGGCTAACCTCACCATGCTACTGCCCTGGAGTGGGCACAGTGTCCCAAGGCACTGACTGTATTGGGGCTGGGAGAAAGGGCTGGATAAGGTATGCGGCAAGGTCAGGGCTCTATTTTCAGGGCCAAATGACCACAGTCTCTCCCAGCTGATCACAGAAGTCACTCAGTTTATTCCCTGGGCCCTCCTTGCTCAAGGATCTCTCACCTTTGCTTTAAAAAATCTAGTAAATGGAATTACCTAAACTATGTGGAAAAATGAACTCCCTTCAAAGCATCCCAGTCTTTAGAAAGATTCTTACTAGCTAGAGTAACTTCAAAGAAAATATGACAGGCCACTTTAAGTAAAAATGTATTCATTAAAGATAATCCAAAGCCAATCCTTTATCAATCTCAGCAAGGACCATACCTTGATACAAAACAGGGAGATTAGGCATAAATTCATTTGTGCACGTATTCCTAAAACAGCAATGTGAGAACCAAAATCACAGTAAGATTAATTCATTGCTTCCAGTGACTACTGACAACACACTGATATAAATCTAACCATGAATGGCGATGAGCTGCAAAGTGTTCTCAAGATACATCCCCAGCAACAGGGGACTTCCAGACTTCTTCTCAAAGTCATCCTAAAATCCCTGAGAAGCTAAGCCCATTCACAGAAACAATTCCCAAATAGCTCCTCATGTACCTCATACACACAGACATACAGGGGACTGACAGGGACAAACAAGCACTGATTTGAGATCAAGCACTATACCTCTGGCAGTCTAAGAGGCATGACCGCCAAGAGTCACTGGCAGAGGTGGCACCGGGCATGTCCCGTGGAAACGTTATGCTAGGTTTAGGCACATGAAGCATGAAGCAATTCTGCAATGCTTGACACTGTAGGGCCAAAGGCCACCGACATGCCGGCCTAATTCGTTATCTCCCCAACTGTGTGTGTGTGTGTATATGTGTGTGTGTGTGTGTGTGTGTGTGTGTGTGTATGTTTTAAAAGTAGGCTCTACACCCAACATGGGGTCTGAAATCACAATCCCAAGATCAAGAGTTGCATGCTCTACCTACTGAACCAGCCAGGTGCCCTATATATATGCACCTTTTAAAAGAGGGAAGGGCGAGGCAAAGAGCCAGTGCTAGGATCACCTGTGCATCCACTGCCAACACCAGAGTGGGCATTAATGAATATTCATGAATGCCCAGATTAAACGAAACACTTTGGTTTACACACTGAAAACATTTCCCTAATTATAAGAGTTAATATACACTGGAATATATTAATAAGGAAAATTGTGGCAAGATACTCTCTGGGTGTTTTTAGGAAGTCAGTGCCTGTCTTCTGAGAGTTGGGAAGAATGATGTGCTGATTTCCTTAACTCCACGGTCCCACAAGTCAATAAAAGTCAGTTAGTGTCTTTCTTCTAAATCATTTGCTTATTAGAAGGCCATTTTCCACTATCACATTCACTAGGCTAACTTTCAGAACCCCTCAAAGTGTCTAGATATTGACTTGGTCTAAAAGACTTGACATAAATTTTGAACCGGACTCTACTCCTGCAAAAATCTTACACTCATTTTTCAAATGTATTTTTAAATAACTAAAATAGCCACATGTAGCTAGTGGCTGATTAGGCAGCACAATTTATAGCATACTTTCATCATAGAAAGTTCTACTGGATAGTGACGTCTGAAATCATTCACATTCCTTTTCTTCCATCCTTCATCCCTCTTTTCTTTCTTCGTTTTCCTTTTTTTTTTTTTTTTAAAGTAATCTCCACCCCCAACATGGTGCTCCAACTTATGACCCAGAGATCAAGAGTAGCATGCTCCATAGCCTGAGCCAGCCAGGCACCCCTCGTGTTCCTTATTTTCAAACTACCAGCATTAAAATCCTCCACACACCCCAAGCTTCTGAAATGTTTCATTTGTAACAATACTAAATCTATCCAGGGAGAAGCAATTCCTGAATCCCATATTCTATTTATGAGGTTTCATAAAGAGAGAGTACAGAATCTCAGAGTTTCTATTTTTTAAACTTTATTTATTCAAGAAATGTTTGTAGTTTTAATGACTTTCTAAGCAAAATTTTAAGGAACTAAAAACAATAAATAAATTCTAGCTGGGTGCTGTCTTACTAATTTTCCCACATAGAAACAGGACCTCACTAAGAGAATAATTATGTCTTTACGTCTCATAATGAAGTAATTCATCAATTTAAAAGGGTTAAAATCTTGAAATTATTTGGAAAAAATTAAAGATGAAATATGTCTTATTGTGCATTTTTAAAAGGAATCTCTGCGAGAGTACTTTACCAACAGTGAAAGGCTTTAAAGTAGAGTATTATAATTTATAGCTCCTTTGCACTGACAGCACAAGTACTTCAAGTAATCCAAACTGCGTGCATCTATACAGGTTTTGTTTAAAACACCCATCCTTTCCCTACCTAAGCACCAGCAAACTAGAATGCATCATAAGAAAAATCAAGGACATGTAAATATGCTTCATTAGCTGCAAATAAAACTTTTAAAAGTTTAATTAGAAATATTTTCCTCTGTTTATCTTCTTGCTTAAAAGATATCTGCTAACCAGTACCTCATCCAGGAACTCTTTTCCCATATTACATAGGAAAACTGGGTAGGTGACTGGGAAAAATGTGAAATCGATACTTTAATTCAATCTTTATGACAACAAAAATATGGTCTGGTTCCTCAAAAGGCCAGTTATGAAGGAGACAAAGAAAGACGGGATAGGAGGGACATTAAAAGGCTGACAGGGGAACAGGTGGAAGGGAAGAGAGAGCCAAGAGAAAGGAATCAAGATAGAATAAAACTGTAGAAGAAATCTACTGGAATCAGAGAAGGGAGAAGTGGAGAGTGAAGAACAGTAAATGCTGGGCTTTATGGAGCTACGTCAAGCATTTAACTGCTTTTATTATCCATGCTTGCTAATTTAGCTGAGGAGTCCAAAAGGTAAAAATAAATGTTCTTCAAAACTCTAGATTTACCTATTCATCAAACTTCTTATTTATAAAAATTGAGTTGCCTTCATGAAATCTGGATTAATGCAGGCTAATCAAAGAAGTATTGCTTTTTTTGGGTCAGACCTGGTCCAAAAGTTCCTCACTCATTGTGTTCCTTGATACAAATGTTTACAACTCTAAATACGTGACTTGTCAAATCCTCATAACATTAACCACATTCTAAAAGTTGTTTCCTAAGCCATGATCTTACTGAAGCCAGTTCAGTCAATAATGTTGTGCCTTTAATTTGTAACTAGGTTTTGTCATTTTGACCTTGGATGCACAAGTCATGAGAGATCACCAGCACTGCAACACTAAAAATGAAAACAAAATCTTCCAACTTTTAAACTTGATGTTAAATTCAGAAAAAAAGAAGTAAAGGAAAGCTGAACTCTTAAAAAGGGGTAAAATGCAACTAGACCAAACCATGGCAAAATGGCTTGTGGGGAGGGGGTGGTACAAGCAGCAACTTAAATTATAAATAGCAGCCCCACTGTTAGCTTCTTTTAAGAACTAATAATTCCTCTTAAGGGAAGTTATACTAAGGCAGTTAATACTTAGGTGTGATGATTAAGAAACTTTTAGCTACTTACCAGGAAACTGACTCCAAAATTATTAAACAGAGACAGTAAGATGGTGAGGATAACTACATTTGAGACCTCAAATTGAGTACATAATAAAATTAATTACTGAAACTGTTTTTTACATACTATATCACATACAAAATTTCCCTTTAATGGTACAGATATACAGCAAGACTCCTTTTTAAAGAGCATCTATTAAAGGATTAAATTTGTTAACAATTCCTAGCACCAAATAAATAACAAGTACACACTTATTTTTGGATACCAAGTCATGGCATAGTTAATGAAAGCTTAAGTCAAAATGTTTTCTCAACACTTTTTAAAATCTGGCATTTAGTAGATTCAGACATTAAGTCTTTCTAAAGTAACCCAAAATTTAGTATCTAAAATTTTAATATTTAATATCCCTTAGAATATAATATTGCACATAAAGTTACTCATTACTGGCATACACTTCTGAAGGACTTCTGCAACTTAGTACCTTTCCTATCCAAATACCAAAAGTCCACGACTAGCCTTACTTAAAAACTGCCCTACAAAATAAATTATGATGTACCCTACACGTTCATTTCCAAAAGAGAGCCCTGCCCAGACTTTCTCCATTTAGGAGCCATCGTTTATTTACCTTTTCACTGGTAGTGAGAGGGGCCAGTGCTGCCAAACAGAATCAAGCAGCTAGGTCATGCTTTCCTGGTGAAGCTCAAAACATCCTGGGTGTCTACCACTTGAGTATTTTAAACCTTCAGTCATGCAAAGACTGAAAAGACAGAAATGTTTCTTCCCTAAATTTTCAAACCTATTCAATTAAAAATCCTTATGAGGATAAATTTCTTCTAGCCAGGATACTGAAAAAGCCTAATATTTTAAGCTTTTTATACAAAGTTTGTGGCTTGGTTGAAAAAAAAGGAAAAAAAAATGGATTTCTGGAGAAGTTTCTCTGAACAAGGAAAATATTAGGCATTTCCAAAACAGTCACATGTTTGCTTGGTATGCAAAAATTAATTTCTGAAGCAACTCAATTTTTTAATTAACTCCAGCTTTCTTAAGCTGGGTTATATTTCCTTTTTTTAAAACTCTGAATTATTTACAAATATACATATTTTCAATGATTTTGTCTGGCACAAGGAAAATACTGCTCAACAAGTCTACTCCCTTAACATGTATTCTTTAAAAAGTGTTTTACTGTTCAATTAAAATTAGTATAAAAAACCCAACTCACTGGCAAAGTAGAAAGAAGGGCTTGTCTCCTTGTTGTATGGTAATTTGGGGCATGCTGAATTTGGGAAATAGAAAGGTAAATTAGCCTTTTGAGGTGTGCATTTTCCTAATTTTCTGGAAAGGTTGACATATTTATAAATTTCTTTTTGTATTCATGCATAAATCATTTTTCTTATTTTACAAGAGATGACAAGTACTTTAAACATTGCTACAAAATTAAACAAGATAGGGCTGAACCAAGAAACATTTTTCTTCTGTATTGATATGCTGAGTTCCACATGCTGACTTGTTTAAATGAATAAAATCATCTAATTGAAAGACCAACAAGGCATTCCACTGAATAACCTTAATAAAAATAATGTACCAGAATAAGAGAGTATTTACCAAGTTTAATTCAAAAGACTCAAACAGATTTGTAAATCATTATTAATAAAAACATCATTATTCTGTAAGATATTTATCAGGCATCTGGAAGTGAATCCCAAAACTTAAGAAAAAATAGTTAATATTAAACATGAGTGTGATATCATTCCTTATTAAAATGTCTACATAAATGGGGTGTAGGTACACTTGGAAGGATATGCACCAGAATGTTAACAGGTAATTATCAGGTGGAGGGGTAACAGGTGCATTCTCAATCTTTTTGCCTCCTGTATTTTCTAATTTATCTGCATTAAACTACCAAAAACAAACTCAAAAAGGATTCTGGATCTAACTCTTCTTGATGGCTCTAGTTGGTAGAGAAAGTTTCATTACTACTATTTCTGAAAGGGAAAATGCCATTGCCCTAAAAGAAAATTAGGTGAATTACAAGACAAGATGTTAAAGAAACAAAAAGGAACTTCTTCCGTTACTCCTAAGAAAAACTTCTTAGGAGGGATGGGGCAATGATGAAAGTTAGATTAAAGTCAAAGAGATGAAGTTTTTGTGATCAAAATCCTTTCTAAGATAGCTAGAAAGAGAACAAGGTCAACAACTACTTAGAATGTATGATAACTCCTAACAATGTAACTGTTCAGTAATCTGTCGGCATACCAACCATCTGAAGATAACAATCAGTCTTTAGTCTTTACTGTCCTTTCTATTCTCAAAGCCTTTTGCTATGGCCATCCACTTGGTAAGTGACAAAAAGGTGACACAGAACTGTTGCCAACATCTCGGTGCATATTCTTTTGTTTGCATAAAAATTTGAAAATATTTAGATAGAACGGATCTTAACAATAAACATAATTCATACTAAAAACATTTGGTTCCTTTGGGAATATGAAATATTAACTGCTCGAGGGGTATGAGAGTAAAATTAGCATTTCTAAGCAACAAATATATCTTAAGTTTAAAATAATGTACTCTGAAAACATATCTATGTGTCTTTATCTGGCATAATTAAGATTTGGAAGATCTAAGATAACTGAAATAATTATTGAAGAATTAATGAATTTGCTTTAGTAGATTAAATTATGGCTTATACTTCATTTCCTACTGTTCTTTTTAGAGTATGGAGTACCCAAATGAGAACCCTGAGTAACCAGCAACAATCCTATGAAATCCAGAGCTTCACCCCAACCTGTCCCCTCATCAACAGACATCAATTAAATACAAGCCATGGAAATTGCAGGAGAGTAGTTCAGATCTGGCTGAGCAACTTTGTCCTGGCATTAAAAAAACTGGTCTTAATGACTAGTTCATTCCAGATTTCACTGGACATTAGGTCTAATGTTTTGTTTGCAGTATTTCTGATTTACCCATATTTCAATTGACTTCAGGGTCCAAGGCCAACTGCTTTTCAAATAGAAAAGTTTTGGGAAGGTAGTTATAAAACCATTAGTGTCTCAAATACAGTGTTTACTGTACAAGTGATTTCAAACCAACGAACATTCATCCAAAAGGAAAAACCAGATGCTGGCAGTGAGTGAACACATTGAGGAGAAAGATTCTTCTCAACATCACAGTATTACTACAATATCTCAAAAGCATGGGTACACAGACAGTTGTTCTCTAAAAGCAATGGAAATTTTAGTTCAAAAGTTTTAGATCTTATTCAAAGGGGAATATGCCAGAAAATGGGAGGAGAGAAATGTTTTCTCCACTTGTTAAATCATGATGTATTTATCAGAAATATATAAAAAAAATCATAATGAACTTTTCACCTAAGCCTTTAGCAAACCAGAAAATTGTTGAAATATATACAAATTGCATAAAAGCATACATGATGAGTCAATGGTGTCTTTTTATACATATTTAGTCCTGGTTAAGACAAGCCAATGACAAGCAATCATAACCAAAATCAGTCTGTTGATATACTTTTCAATTAAATTGTGAATGGGTTTCTTGTAAGAAAGTTTCCCAAAATGTAGCAATTACCTCATTTTAATTCAAAGAGAATAATCCACACTAGGAAGTTTTAAGTGATAATGTGGAAAATTAAGATCAGATTTAAGTTATTTTATAAAAACCATGCCTATGATCATGTAGATTTCCTACCACCGTGAACATATGCAATAGAAGCATGTCTCCAGGAAGTAAGCACGAGCAGGTTATAGGTGACAAGAAGGATGATTGCTGCTGCCTGAGTCCCACCTAGTCTTATGAACCTCTAAAATCAAGTGTCACCTGAAGTTAAAAAGGAGAAAATCTTTATTCTTAGTCATTAAAAAAGTTTTAAAAGGGTTAAGAACTGAAATGGCCATGTAATCACATGTAACTATGATTTCATTCTAAGAGTGGCACACTTTTTATCTGTATGAATGAACTTGAATTTCTCTCCTCACACTCTAAAAATTGAAACCCCATGGGAAAACCTAACTGACCGCACAGGAGCGCTCAGGAAAAGTTCACAACAAAATTTACATCTTAATGAAATCAGCACTAATTTAATGTGATTTTGAAAACTATAATATGGGTCAACTCACTGATTCTATATTACAAGATGTAAGTGGAAATCTTAAATTCTCAACAGTGAAAACCATATTATTTTAGTACTTCAGACACCTAAGTTGACCTGCACAAAGTTCTCCAGCCATAAAACTCAGATGGAGATTTCTGCTTATTATTCTTATATATACCATTTAATTATTTTATATAGGATACTTTTCTTCATTTTACCATTGCTTATGATGACTGTATTTAAAATGTGACTCATGTCTGGGGCGCCTGGGTGGCGCAGTCAGTTAAGCATCCGACTTCAGCCAGGGCACGATCTCGCGGTCCATGAGTTCAAGCCCCGCGTCGGGCTCTGCGCTGATGGCTCAGAGCCTGGAGCCTGTTTCCGATTCTGTGTCTCCCTCTCTCTCTGCCCCTCCCCCGTTCATGCTCTGTCTCTCTCTGTCCCAAAAATAAATAAACGTTGAAAAAAAAATTTTTTTTAAATGTGACTCATGTCTAAAGCATATCTAATGTTAGACTATTTTGACCACTTAAAATACAGCATGAGGCAAAAACATACTTTTTAACATTTTAACATTTGTTAACATTTGTTAAAATGTTAACAAAGAGCAATAAAAATACGTAATGCCAGTAACTTCCAGGGGAAGAAGAGAAGCAGAATGTTTTCTTGCTGGAGAGTGCTTTCATTATGGTAAAACTTTCTTTTGTGCCTTCGGCAGGCCATGCCAAGTGGTGGTAATACTGATGAGGAAGAGGAAGTAGATGGCTTTCTCCACAAAAGATGCTTTCTGTTACACAAATCATTACGTTTCAGTTAAACTAAGGAGAAACATCTGAAGACAGAGGAGTTTTAGGAACAGATTTGCCAAAACTTTTAGAAATGGGTTCATCTTTTCTTTAGATTCATGACCCTCAATGGCACAAGTTATTCTTAAAGTATCTTTCCAGAGGTTTAAAACAAATTAAGAATAGTCACACAAACTGAAAGAGACAAACAAAAGTCCTCCTACCATACATCGCATGCGTCTGCTCATGAGCCCCGTACTGAGTTGCTGAAGAAGACACTAAACCAGGCTGGGCATGTGCTGGTGGTGCCATCATTCTAGCATTACCCTGTATTACAGGACTATAGACATGAGGATGCTGTGTTCAAACAAAAAATAAAGAGAAAACATTAAACTATCAAATACAGTCAAGCAAATTTTAGTTAGATGTCTTAACTCCATGGTTTCCAGAAACAAGTCTGAAAATCCTAAAACTGTTTTTGGCTATTTCCTTTGAAATACGTTAATACTGATCAGCAATCTTATATGAAAAAGACCCCCCAAGTCCTTAGCTATCTACTTCACCATAACACACAGCACAACTATAAAGGAAAACCCCTTTACCATATTAAAAGTTAGAAGTTATTTAAATGGAACAAAAATGAAGAGTTCAGTCGTATCGGCCTTACCTGAGACTGATAATGTGGCACATGCTGAACAAGAGGCTGATTTGGAAACTGCTGAGGACTATAGGCAACATATTGTGTGGAATAAGCTGGTGGGGTGGCCACAATCGGTGGGCCTGCTGCTGAGGCTGGGTGCATCATGGTGCTCTGATGATGCTGGTCTTGCCGCTGTTGGGGCATATTTGGTACTGCAGAAAAGATGACTTAGTATTAGAAAAGAGCATCTCCAGAATCAAACACATGAACACGGTCCACGAGCCTGGGCATGATTGGACCCTCCTGCCTGCCTTTCCAATGCCATGCTATACCATTCCCTCCGCTGCTGCAGCCACTCTGGGCTATTTTCCTGCCACACATGCTATTAGGCCTCAGTCACAAACACTGATTCTCGAAGCTCAGCTTGGACAACTCTGACTCATCCTTCAGGTGTCAGCCTGAAAGCAACTTCCTCAGAGAGACCCTCTATAATGACCCCCAGATTTGATCAAATCCCTGCATCAGACTCTTACAGCACTATAAAATGTTTCTTTCATACTACTACTCAGATAACCCCTGTCTGATATGCCAAATTATGCCACTTGCTACAGAAGGACATTAGACGTATACAAAGAAAAACAATAGTTCACAAAAGCAATATAGAGCCAATACTAACCTTAACTCCATCTTAATTTCCTACCACTGAATTCTTACACAATTTCTTGCTTTCTCAAAACACAGCATCACATGCTATCACGTAGCAGATTTCTAAATAGCTCTTTTTTAAAAAATGTTTTTCGTCTTTTATTGTTCCACCCAGATTTCTGCCTATGGTCCTCCTCCTGTTAAAATTCTAGTTAAGAATTCAACTCATGGGGTGCCTGGGTGGTTCAGTCAGTAGCGAATGCGATACTTAGGGTGTGAATTCGGATCCCACACTGGGTGCAGAAATTACTTAAAAAAAAAAAAAAAAAAAAAAAAGAAGAAGAAGAATTATTCAGCTCAACTGTTATCTCCTTTGTAGTATCTTTCCCAGTTTGCCCAAAAGAGCTAGCTGCATGTTTTGTGTATCTTTCCCTTGCATGTCTATTGTAACACTGATTGCTGTCTGTGATGGGTTTACGGAGTGATGTTAACAAAGCCACTTGAGGGAAGAATCATGAACCACTGCCCACAACAAGGTATGAAGCACAAAGAAGGTATAACTTGGCATCTTCATAAAATCACCAGAATTATACAAGTAACTACTAGTTTAGTGACAAAATTTGCTTTTTATTTTAAATATGTGAATTTTCTTAGTATACATTTAGGGGAGCTATATACCGTTTTATCTATTCAGAAAAGCCAATATGAAAATGGGAAAAATTAAGATTGTAATAGCTTTCTGAATTTGATCTTCAGAGTCCACATATTTCTTTTTACAAATTTTACTTTATTTTAAAATGTTTTATTTATTTTTGAGAGAGAGAGCATAAATGGGAAAGGAGCGGGCTGGGTGGGGCTAGGGAGGGACGGGGGGGGGGGC